TTTGCGATGCTCTTTTCGAAATATTAGATCATTATCCGGACTACGACAGCTTGGTTTTTGATGATTTGGTAAGTTTCTTCTTACTTGCTATTTCAGCCTCTCCTCATGAATCAGGAACTCTAATCAGCTGCTAAGTGTTTGATGGTAGCTTCACACAGTTTTATGAGCTTTATTTTTAATATTATTCTATTTTTTCATTTCTAGTATTTTTCAGTGTTCAATGTATGCCTCTTTTCTAGGTCACTTTAGTACAATTGGTAAATGAGGAGCGCTACAAGAATTTCCGACCAGTACTTGATAAATATGTGGAGAATTTTCATTCCACTGTAGCATTTTTGTATGTCCTAAACTCTCAACAAAATTTAAAGTAGAAAAATGTGAAATATTTGCTAAATATTTATTATTCTTATTATTTACAGTGTCGACTTCATCTAGGTTAAAGATTAAACATAGTCTGATTCACCAAATACTAATGTACCTTTTTGTAGGAACAGTTCTGTGAGCAAAAAAAAATGTTTTGAGACGAATTAGAATATTTGCGGCAAAATTGAATGTAATAATTTTTTCTTTAGAAAATTATTACCAGTTCTTCGTGAAAGAATTGAAAATGCAGAAGACACGCATGAAAGATCATTAAATACGATGAAAAGTCTTGGCACCCTCATTAAATTGATTGTTAGATCAAAATTGTGCAGTGACAGGTAATTTCTCAGCTTTAGAAAAAGGTATATGTTCAAAGAAAATACTAGTTTCAGATTTAAGGCTTCTTCTTTGAAGATTTCAATAAGTTTAAATTTGCAGACTTGGTATGGCGTCAAATAATTTCCAACTTTTGATCAATGAACTGCTGGAAGCATTTGTTGTATTTATGCAAAATAAACGAGTACGTATGACTTGTCAAAATATGGCACTGAAACATATACCAGCAATCATTCCACATCTTACCTACTATGATGTTTATAACAGCGATGATCTCACGTAAGTTTTGAATTGATAATAAATGGATTAACTACGGAAAATTTTTCACCGTTAAGTTTGTATTCACCGCATTATGATTGACCTCTTAAATTAGCTTTCTGAGAAAAAGTTCATTGGACGTGAAAATTTTGTTAAGATGATGTTAATTTGAGGAATTTCTTGATACGGTTAATGGATCATCTTGGTGAAAACATAAGTTCAAGGTGTCGTTTGAATTTCCTTAAAGATGTAGTGCAAACAGAGCATTTCATCCAAGAGGAAAACCGAAAGAAGCTGTTACCGAAGGTTGCTAATCAATTCTTTTCAGTATTGTCGTTTCTTTGTTCGCCGTTCTCTTAGTTTGACATCTTTGACTGGCTGAAGAAAGTATGATGTCAACGTTGAAGAAAGCTCTGATATTATTCCGTAGTTTTTTGAACAGTACTGCAGAACCACAGCATTATTCTCGGTCCATACCATTAAAATCATCAATCACTAATAATTGTCTTGCTCAGCTCAGTGTTAACAGTACTCTAGCGTTGAGCTGAAGAATAATGAATTGATTTCGAACTCACTAGTTGATTTAATCTATAAATTCTGGTGTTAATACACTCGATTAGTTTTGAATTAATTTTGCTCATTATAAACTTATTCTTCAATTTGTTTCCACAACAACACATGAAACGTTTTATCGAGTACATTTTTTATTAATTTGCCGTGATATTGTTTCGACTTTCCAGATCATTGAAAAAGTTGTGGAAGAACTCGAAACTTCTGACTTCGTCCATTTGCAAGACGTTGTGTGTGATCAGTCCAAGATGGAGGAATGCATTTCAGCAAGCGCTGATATAATGTTTTATATCATTGAGCGCCTTTTTTGCTGCACGGTTCATTAAATTCATTTGAATTAAAGAATTATATTTAATGCATTTTTGTGTAGAAAGTTTGGGAAAACGTTTGCATAATTTTTTATTTTGTGATATTACGTGTACTGTTTCAGAATGCCGCTCATGAGCAAGGAAGTGAGGAAGAACTTTATTTCATTGTATGGAAATCATTTCGTACCATAGTTCAGACGACAATCATTTTGATAAATGCAAAATATTCTGCTGTATGTATGCCGAAATTTTGGTTGTTTTTTTAAATTTAATTTTTAAAATTATTTTGCCCTAAAATTCAATCAAGTTTTAAAAATTGAGAGATTCCGTACGAATTCTCTTTTTTTGTCTGTACTTGCGGCAAAGAGCATATTATTTTAGTCTGTGTTTTGCGCGCTTACGATTACAATTCTCAGCAAATTGTCGGCACAAATGTACAAAATATATTTGGAAAGTCATGCTACCCGTATTGATAAACATGATTTATTGATGGAACTTGTTCATTTGTTTCGTGATCTCATCAACAAGTCACCATTCCCATCGTCTTGGTTTCAGATGATACTATTACAGAATAGGTATGGTCTCTGTTTGTTTAGAAGGTCTTAGGATATGAAATTTCACTCAGTTGATGAAAAATGATGGATTTTGAGGCATTTCAAGATTCTTAATACATATTGCTTCAGCGACGAACAGGACAGACAAGATAAAGCGACTGCTAAAAAATGGATTAGACCGTATAAATCGGCAGATTTTACTATCTTTTTAAAGTGATTTTTCTCATTTTTTTTTGAACACTGTCATGGATTTCTCGGTTTTATTTCATCATTTATTCTCAGGATGATTTTGAAAACAATGAAATTTATCATGTCGACAATCGTTGAGCACTTTCATGACGATCAATTCAATGCTGAAGTTCGATTATTTGCTTATATGCAACTTGTTTATAATTTATTCCCTTCGTGTTTGGTTTTTACACTTGTCAAACTCCTGACGTTTGTTATTTAGCTTTGGCGAGAATACATGTTGACGATGGTCGCCCTTTGCACACAAAAAGCTCTCCAGCTGGGCTCATCAACAATTAGTGAAAGGCGATCACGACTTTTATCATGCCAACCGGATTTGAGAAGAATAGCAGTTGCAGACTTGCGGTCTATGTGGTTTCGATTATCAAGTTAGGATTATTGTTCTAAGCAGTTCTATACGTTTGTGAATAATTACTTAGTATTAATTTAAATACGTATTCTTTCATATTTTTGTAGTGGCCCAAAAGATCCTGTTTGTACCGTCTATGATTGGTTCTTATCTTCGAGTGGCTCTAGTTGATGACGATGTTGTGCGTGAAACTGTTATCCCCATATTTTTCGATATGCTTCAATGTGAATTCCACTTATCACCATTGCGCAATTTTTCCAAAGTAGAATGCTTCGCATTTTCTCTTTGATTGAAATATAACTTTTATACATTTATAATTTATTACTTTTTTTCACTGTTTATTGTTCCATTGAAGTATAAAATTAAAGTTTGCAAACGAGACTATAATACAACTAGACTGTTTGGTTGACGAAGACTGTGGCGGAGAAAAATTCAAGGAGCAGTTGCATAATATCATGATGGATATGTAAGTGTCATTTTCTAGCTTCGTAGGAAAATTTTGTGGAAATCGTTGAATATTTTGAAATCGTTTCAAAATTTCAGGAGCCGATCAGATACGGATCTTGTTGCAGAAGGCTGCAAATTTGTGGCTTTAGTTGATACTCTTCTACAACATCTTTTTGAATATCGTGAAGTACGAACAAATGGTTACTGTATAGAAAACGGAATGGATCGAACTGTTGAATTGTTGGTTAGTTTATTTCGTTTTTTTTTTCTTAAATGAAGTTTTCGTCAATCTTTTTACAATTTAGAAAATCTACAATTTGATAAGTTTTAAAACCTATTTATTTACTGTCTCATTTTTTAAAATTTCAGAAATTTTATAAACTCATTGGTCAAGCTGATCTTTATGTCAGTTACGTTTATAAACTCTATGATCTTCACATGCTCAGCAACAATAAAATTGAGGCAGCTTTCACACTTCTGAAACATGCTGAAACATTGTCGGTAAACTTTTCGAAAGTTCCATTGCTTTTATTTTATGTAAACAAGAACACACTTTTGTCGGGAAGCAGTTTCAATTTTCATATTTAATATTGATTAAGGTACTAATTGAACTATCTTCATTTGGACACAGTATCTTAATGAATGTTCATATAGCGACATTTCTCAGGTGCTGATAAAAATGCATCGGAATTAAGATGTAGAGTAGGGTTACCACATTCTCTTTTTTTTTGTTTGTAATAAACTTCGAATATAGTGGGCGGAGTGTGAATTACCGACTGCAGTTCTGGATGCACATTTAAATCGGCAGTGTGGTACACAGCGTCAGCTCAAAGAAGCACTTTATAATGAAGCTGCCAATCTTTTTGATGAAAAAGAATTGTGGGAAGAATCTATTGGTATTTTAAAAGAACTTACATTTCAATATGAAAAGAATTATGAATACGAGAAATTACCAAGTCTTCTGGTAAATCTTTTTTTATATCAGTATCCAAGATGATAATTTCAATGTTTTTCAAATCGACCATTTCAATTTTTCAAAATTAGTTCAGTTTGTAAATTTTTTCGTATTTTCCTTTTTGAATTTTACATTTTATGAAGTTGAAATTTATTCGAGTCTTTTTTAGCAGCGTCTTGCTGAACTGTATCACAAAGTAAGTACACAAGGACGAGTTGCATGCACGTATTTCCTCGTTGGATTTTATGGCCTCAATTTTCCTGGCTATTTGAACAATCGACAATTCATCTATCGTGGAAATGAATGCGAAGTCAATTTTTAGCCCTTTTTTTCAACTTTTCAGTTTATTAGATGCCTCGGATTGCTTAGAAACTTTTGCATTGACAAATTACTTGCATTTAGGCTATTGTCAGTTTTCGCCATCGAATGCTATCAACTTTTCCTGGTGCTCAGTTAATTAATACAATGGATGAATGTTCGCATCTTTCGAAGCACGACAATAAATTTTTGCAAATTTTCCCTGTTAAACCGCTTTTTGAAAGTTGTTGGGAAAAGAAATGTAGCAATCGTCTAATTCGATGGTATTTCAAAAACAATAGGGTATTTAGCCTTTTTTTATTAAAAAAAAGAAAAACGAAAAATTTACAGTGATTAGTGACTGTAAATGTGGTAGTAATATCACAGTAATTCTTTGGAAATTCTTTTATTCATGACTGGTTTATATTGCCATTGCATGCAGTGCGACGTAGATATATGATTTATTATTCTGTTTCAATGGAAGTTAGGCAATATCATTGAATAAGATTTCCAGGTACAAAAATTTGAATTTTGTAAAGGCGAAATTCGAAAAGGAACAAAATGGACAGAACTGGAAGATAGCGAAATTATGCGGTCATGGGTAATTCGACGATCAGTTTCTATTGAAGAACAATTGCCCAACATATTACGTTGGTCGCAAATTACCGCTTTTTCTGATCTAGTAAGTTTAAATTCAAATCAGCATTAATTATCATTACTATAGATCTTCATGTTCTGTAGATGGATGATCTTTTTCCTCGCAGATTGAATGCTCTCCACTGATGGAAGCTGTGACAACAATGCAGAAAAACAATGAAGAAATGGAAGAAATGGCACATGTGGTGCTTTCTACACCTTTAGAATCAGTTGTCCCACTGGGAGGCAAAATTCGAGGCATTGTGCAGGCATTTGTACAAGGAGGAATCAAAAACTACAAAGTTTGATTTTAATTTTCTGCCTATTTTTCCTTATTTTTGGGTATTTTAAACCCTCATATTCTTGCTTCAGATATTTTTCTCTGATCGATGTGCATCAGTTTTGACATCCGAAGAGCATGAGCTCGTGCGTCAATTGAGGACATTAATCAGAAACCAGGTTCGTTCTTAACAGTTCCTACCATTTTCAAAATTTTGCTTTTGTAGTAGTCAGCATTGATATTATTAGCTTCCAGGTACCAATTTTGGAGTTTTGCTTATATGCACATGCATCTCGAGATCACCAAGTGAATGTTCAGTTTCACGAGTCCCTTGTAACTTCTTTTTACGAATATAAAGCAAATATTGAAAAGCAATTTGGAAAAGTGGTAAGAACTAGCCGGTCTTATAGATTTTTTTAAAAGTATTCTTGACTGAACGAATACAATTGATTCAGGAATGTGTGCATGTAGGGAAAAATAAATGCAATTAGCTTAGAGCAAAGATTTTCTTTGATTTTTATGGCGTAGCTTTATATGATCATTTTTCTGAGAGCAACAACTATTTCGTATTTGTCGTAATACATTCCTATTTGTTCTTATAATTCAGGCCTCACAGCTGCCGCCGGGTTGTTCCATCCATCTATCGCAACAGAAAGGAGATGAGCGAAGAGCAAGCAGCTTTGAAACCTCAAGGTTAAATTTATCATTATTCAAAATTTTTGTTGGCCTTTTGTATTGAATGATTTTTTTTCATCCTATTTTGCTACTTGTTTATAGCACTCCGTCGGTCATGAGTGTATTTAAAAGAGGTGGTGGTGCTACGAAAAGTGGAAGAACAACTCCCAGGAAATCAAGCGGTCTAAAATCGGATCTGAAAAGTGCGTTCGAGAATGGGTGAGCGATTTTTGTATTCTTTATAAGCAAATTAATATTTGATTGCAAATTGCAATTTTTATCGGAAATTAAATTGTAAAGGTTCGCTGCACTACTTTATTGCTGACTCTTGATGATTATATAGACATTGTTCAGAATTGCGAAACGAATTTCGTCGTCATCCGATCGCAGCTTTGACTATAATTCCAATGAAAATAATTCCGCTTCTCGATCGACAGTTGATTTTTCACGTTTTGAACATCCACTGAAATCAATTTCTTCGTCATCCTTGCAAATGACAGAAGATGATGCAACTCTTAAATCGGTGAAAGTAGCCGAGAGGTAAATTGATGCGGTTTTTTTGTTAAATAGTTGAATTTCTCGAAGTGTGAATTCAAAAAATATATATTTTTAGGCTTTTCGTTTTGCAGCTAATGCTGTTTCTACACACTGCTTTAGAAGATTTCGCTTAATATTTCAGTATGCTCTTATGTGCTCTCCAGTGATCTGGAGAGCACATAAAAGCATACTGAAATATTATACTGAAATATTAAGCAAGATACTGAAATATTAAGCAAGATCTTTTTATGGATAGAATGATGATTAGGATACCAAAAAAGTAGTTGCTTTCTGCGTATATAGAATTTATTGAGTTAAAATAGTTCAAGAAACGTTTCTGTTTCAGACCAACTGATACTCAAATCGTACCACCTCCCTTACCTCCGCGACATACGAAAATATCGCTTTTGGCTCCTCAGCATTTCGGTACCCTTTCATTTCCATTGGAAGCTTCTCATCACAATATATAAGTTAGAATAGCTGCGACAGTTTGGATTCGTGGAGGATGGACTTTTTTTTGATTTTTGCTTTTCATATTGCGAAAAATTTTAGATTTTGGTATTTTGTTTGTAGTCAAAAAAATCAATTTCAGTGCAACTCTTTTATTTCGTCAACATAAAGAACAAAAAAAATTTTTCTAGTTTATTTGGAACGAAGGCTTTTGAAAATTTCACATTATAGATCGGTTGAGACTGCGAGCAAAATAATAGCTCCCTTTTCTTAACGAAATTTTCGCATAAGTATAATTTGTAAAAAACACCTTGCTTTAGATTGTTTTTTATTAATTTATAATTTCGATTCATATCAGTCTTTACGAAAAAGATTTTTTTCGCGTATTGCGTGTTTGAAATCTGATCTTATTGCGTCATATTTTCGGGTATTGCTTATTTTTGAAAAAACATTCATTTCGTGTTAAT